GAGTTAAGGCAGCTGAGCTGCTCTGACTGTGGTATGGTACTTATGTCAGGATCACAGTGCCCCATGCTTATGCCCTGCACCATTATAGCTCACGTGTGTGCGGAGCACAACGAGGATGTCAAAACTGACTTCATTTGCCTCTGGACACTGCTCAGTGTGGCCACTCCGCTTCCGGGGATGTTGAAACACTGGGCGTTCAGAGACGAGTGACTCGTGCCTCCTCCAAGGTCTCTAATGAGGAGCTTGCGCGGTGCCCAGTCCCCACCTCCGGACTCACATGAGACTGGCGCCCTGCTTTTAAGAGAATCCCTTAAAATTTAACAGAAGGTGTCGATATTTGAGTGTCACTCCTGCACTTTGGAACCTGTGAGGTGAGGTGTGTCATAGGAGGTAGCTGTCCCCATGCTCCCAGTCAATCTCTTCCCACAAAACCTTCTACCTCCACTGTAACTGCACTGCCGTAACCTTCCTGGTTTGATACGGAGTGCTTGCTATAGAAAAGGAACCAGCAAACAGGAGCTTCACGTGATTAAGGGCTTGACTTGTCTCTGAAAGGTTGGTGGTTTGCTGTAAAGTCTGTAAGATTACAGCAGGGACACCCTGTGGAGCAGTTCTCTGTCCGGTCGCTGTGAGGCAGAGTCCACTCCCCACGCACCACAACAGCAAACTGCTAGGTGGTTAAGTGGCATCGAGCTGTCAGCTCCAGCTCCTAGCGGTGCCACATACCACTGAACGGAACACTGCCCCGTCTCGTGCACCTGCTGTGATTGAACCTGTGCAGCCCCATGTAAGTCCCTCTCATTGAGGGTCTTCCTCTTTTTCACAGTCCCTCTACATGTCCCAGCATGACATCTTTTTCCAAGGGCCCCTCCTGACAACATTCCCGATGGATGTGAGCTGAAGTCTCAGCTTCCTTGCTTCCAAGAGCGCTTCCTCCAGGGCAGGCATGTTTGCCCTCCTGGCAGTCTGTGGTGGATCAGCATCCTTGACCACTGCACAGACTGTCTCCGTGTAAAACAGACGTGCACACACACCGAGGGTCGGCGATGCAGCGGGGCTTGCGGCCGGCTGCAGCCTGGTTAGGTCATCCGTTGCTTCCTGTTTTCTGAATGGAACAGCTAAGCTCCATTAGTTTAGCTAGGTCCGGGATCTGTTTCATGACGCCAGTAGTTCTAAGGGTTCTTGCTAGAAAAAAGAAACATAAATCAAGGTTTCAAAAAGAAAATGACGATTATGGTGGTAGAGAAAGTGTGCTCTTGGTGGCATGGCCCTTTCCTGGTCTCGAGGTGGTGAATCAGGATTATTGACCCACAGGGACTCAGGGTGGCAGGGGCTGTTGAGCCTTTAGTAATTGTGTAGGTGATTCCTGCTGTTGTAAACTGCTAGGGGCTCCCCCACTAGCCGATGGATGGGTTAGCAATGGAAACCGCCCAGGGTATCCCTAGGGAGCATAGTGCTGCTGTGAAACCTGGGGTCCCTGGAGTTGGTGTTGGCTCCTCGGCAGCCAGTTTCAGTAATTGCCCAGTGCTGCCAAGGGCGTGTGGTCAGTATACCTGCCTCAGCCTGCAGCTGCAGAGATGTCAGGCATGACGTTGAGATACGGAGACAAGGCAGATTTGGACTGCTGACCCTCCATCAACAGGGCCCCTGCAGTCAGTGTGTGATTGTGGAAATTGGAGTAGGAAAATGACTTAACTTGAGTCACGTAGAGGTATGCAAGGGATCTCCTTGGAAGGCGAGAATTTCACCCAGAACCAGCATGCTCCCCGTTCCCTTCTATGCCTAGTGAGTGGGTGGGAGACCCAACCATGGGTGACAGCTCCCAGTGCCCAGGTGTGGTCTCATGTCGGCCATCCTCAAGGCGATCCCCACTCAGCAGTGACCCTGCGCCCTGCTCATCCTCACCATCTCAGTGCCCATCCATCCATTGGAAAAAGAAGTCCCTTGGCAGGTGGAGATGAGGAAGCACGGATGAGCTGCAGTAGGAAGGATGTCAGGATTGAAATGAGGAACAGGGGGACCCAGGCCACCACTAGGCCCTTGAGACTACCTGGGTGCATCAAGTGGCAGGATACTGGCTGTGTGAGGTGTCTAAGAGGAAGGACAGGACACCTGAGGTGTAAGTGTTGTCAGGTGAACAAGGCTGTCCCAGCACCACCATCTCCCCTCTGGCTAATGTAGGTCCACGTGTCAGGGTGGATTCAGTGTCAACAGAACCAGTGCGTGGCTGGTGCAGTGAATCAACCTGGAGCTCGATTAGGATGGCTGTCTTCTCGGGGTGGGGACCTGTGGTCTTCTTATTCCCTGAAGGTTGTCTAGTTCTAGCAGCTGGAGATCAAGTTCAAATTCTTCTCATCCTGATTCATTGCGACCCTGTTGAAGAGAGCAGCATTTCCCCTGAGTGTGTCCCCCACCTGAGTATTCCCTTTGTCTGTCCTACCAGACTCCCCCCCCCCCAGTCCCCCAGTGTCCTTCCTGGGTGTCCACTCCTATGAGATTTCTGATGCAGAAGCCTCTCCCTCATATCTGCTGGGTGGGTTTCAGTTGGTAAAGAGGAGTCGTAACTAGGTTAGCCGGCAGAAAGGCATGCTTGACTATTCATTGTCATCCAAAGCACCCACCTGGTTCACGCCCAGAAGATTGACCAGTGCTGCCCAGACCCCTTTGACTGCCCACAGGAGCCCAAAAAGTGAGAGCAAGTGAATCACATTGCCCCTCTCCAGCTGCCCAGTAAGGCCTTGGCTAACATGATGGTGCTAAGGACGAGGGTGGGGAGACAAACCTGCTGGTTCCCCAGCAAGACCAGCGTGACCCGGTGCTTCCCTCACACATGCACAAAGATGTTACAGATTTTTCTTAGCAAAATTTTAGTTGACTTTTTGTGTCAAAAACTATTCGGTGATGTCAGTCAGTAAAGCTGTGTTTTCTACTTCTAATGGGCAAAGCGCTTGATTTTTGAAAGGATTATGGAAATACACGAAATCCATTACTGGAATTGGGCTGACTCACTGGGCGTGGCCTTAGGGCTGATGCAAATCAGCTCAGTCCCTCCGCCCTCCAAGATGCTGGCTCTGCCTCCCGCCCCCCTTTCTCTCTCCCCCTCTCCTCCCCCCTCCCTTCCTCTCTCTCCTCCTTCCTTCTTACCTCCCTCCCTTTCTCCCTCTCTTCTTTATCTCTCTTCTCTCTTCCTTCTCTCCCTGTTTCTCTCTCCTCTCTCGGCCTCTGCCTTACTGTCTTTTCCTGTCTCTTTCTCACTCTACACATCTCACTGCTCTTTAATATACCAGATGTTATCTAGAGCTCCCTGAAGCTGTTGACTAGCCGTTTCTTCCTCACTGGGGTTTTTCAGTTAGCTGCTTGTAACTCGGTGGATGGGTGAGAGAGGGGTCCCTGCTCTGGAGCCTCTGGTTGCCTGGAACCGTTAGAAATGCTGATCTCCGATCTCCAGCTAAGCTGCCCTTGCCTTTCAGTTTGGAATGAAGTTCACAGTGCCTGAGTTTTTACAGGATGTGCTCAGTCTTCCAAACAATGGACACGGTTGCTTTCTTCCTCTGTTTGTTTAATTGAGAAACCAAACCATCAGACCCGTGTGGCTGAGTCGGTTCTGCTCCTGAAGACCCTCCCTCAGGTTTCCCCATCTGTAAACCTTGTGGAAGGAGACTGACTGACTGTCCGTCCCGTTCCCCCCCCCCCCCCCCCCCCCCACTCCCCACGGAACTGCTGGCAAATCAGCACTGCTGAGCTTTGGGATAGCAGCCTGGCATTTAACACACTGTGCCTCCAGGTCTCCTGTATTTCATTAAAGTTGTCGTTAGTAAGTCTTTTCTTGGTAGAGTGATACTAGTTATTGGTCATACTGGACATGACTGGGAGTTACTTAGGAAAACCGAGGATCCGGCTGATGAGCACTTTGAGGAATTATTAAGGTAGAGGAACAGCCCTGCGGTATAAAGGCCTGGTGGTCTGCTCCTGCAGAGGTTCCAGCCTGGTGAACCCTGTGGGGAAGCCCTCTGTCCTCTGTCCTGCAGGCCACCATGAGTCAGCATATATGCAACAGCAGAGAAAAGATAACTTGAGTCTGTAGATCTATATTTTATGCTTTAATAGAAAATGTGCAACACGGGCAGTGTCACAAGTGATGATTGGGAGTGAGTGATTCTAAACTGCTCCTCTCTGGCACCGACGGGCAGCCGGTGCTGGGTCCTCCACTTCCTGGGGTCAGCTCTGTGGAGACTGGCCGTCTGGGTGGCAGAAGTACCAGGAACTGCTGGTTTGTAGTGTTTGCTTTTCCACTGAGAGATGGGAGGTTCATCAGCCGACGGCTGTGAGTTGCTCTTGGCTTTCGACTCACGGCTTGTATCCACGTAAAGGATATTTTTCCCCTCATTGTAATTATTCTCAATGTTTATTATATGCCAAATAAGCCCTGGTCTTTAAATTATCCTGTTGGCAAAGAATCTGATAATAAAGGTTATTTTTTTTAAGGAAAAATTATTTAATACAGTACTATATAATTTGTATGAGACTAGAGAGTTTTATACTGAATTAAATATCTCAGTTATGTAAGGACAAACATTGCTCATTGTTGTATCTATAATAGTGTGAAGAAATATTAGAGTCAATCTCTTAAAAATAAGAACAAAACCATCTTTGAACGTCTTAGGAAAGTTCTTAACCAAATATATTTGAGTAAAACATTAGTAGAGCTATTTTTTTAATCCATAGATTCTATAATCTACTTATTCCAGCAGTATTTGCCTTGTAATCACTTTTTTTCTTTATTTTTCATTTCAGTGAACATCTACAGAGATTTTGGAATTCCATTCATTCATTGTTGCACCCCTCTCCCCACCCCCCGTTTGCTCCTCTCCTTCAAACGCAAAAGAAAAACTCCCTCATATATTTGGGGATTGGGGGATGTATGTGGGGGATTACGTACCAATAAAGGTTATTTTTTAAATCCCAGCTTTTCTGTTTTGTATTTTCCATTGCAGTGTAGGAAAAATGATGATGGCGACACAGCTGTGGTTGTTGAGAAGGACCATTTCATGGATGACTTCTTCCATCAGGTAAGAGCTGTTCCCTTCTTGGGACCCAGCCCTGGGCCAGGTTCTGGAATGTAATTGAATTTGTCGGGTCAGAGCTTGGCCCGACTTCTCATTTGTTAAGAGCTCGGTCCGCCTCCCAGCGGTTGTCTGAGAAATGACTGTTAGGCCCGCGGAGACCCAGCGGGTGTTTGCGGTCACAGCTCCTTTAGGAAGAGAAATACACAGGAGTGGTGCGCATGCTCCGTGCCTGGCACGCTCCTTCCTGTGGAGATGGCTGGAATGGACAGAAAGAGCCGTGTGGGGGCCAGCCAGGCACCAACTGGATGCCCTGTGACAAGGGCATCCCAGTTGGTGGCCCCACAGGCCCGTCTCCTCCTCGAGTCACATGTGTTGAGGCTCCTGCACTCAGCGGCTGCAGACCTCCCCATGGCTCAAAAGGATCCTCTTTCTACGATGTGACATGTACCATGGAATGTCCTTCAGAAATGGCAGCGTAAAGATGCCAGGTTGTAGGAGGGCCTTGGCCGGGGAGGCTGGCCTCCTCTGACTTTGTCATGGGTAGAGGAGAAGCAAGAGGGACAGCCCAAGGCTGATGGCTTTGAGTACAGACCAGCCCAATACTGGCCATCCCTCCCATGGCACACCCTCCTTTGCTGGGTTCTGTAATGCACTGCAGCCGGCACACAGGACTCAGACTGGCCTCAGGATCATGGGGCTAACCAGGGAAGAGGAAAGGTTACAGTTCAGGATTAGAGATGGCTCAGAGGCCACTTCTTCAGTCAGGACAGCCTCTTCTCAGCTATGCCATTGTCCTGTAGTCCCTCACCCCTTGAGCCCCACAACCCCTCAGCCTCACATGTCTACAACCCAGCACTGCCTCTACCTGGACTCTCTTCTTCTTTGGCAGGTTTTAGAACACGTTTTAAACTCTGCTAACGAGTGTACCAAGTGGTCAGCTGTGAGACTGAGGGCTGTGAGGTAGAGGGCCTGTGACATTGAAGGACTGAGAGGCCGCCCACAAGCCTCTGTCAGATGACACTCCTCTGTAGCTCTCTGGACCGGTGAATCTACTCCTTTTGAGTAGTATCTGGAGGTACCCTGATCTACCCACAACCCTCCTGCCTGAAGACGCTCAGCGTCTCACTCCCTGGGCCAGGAGCCTGCCATGCCCCCTCCGGGTGGTCTCCCGTTTTTGCTGCTGCTTTTTCTCTGCTGCTACTTGTAGACATCTGTTCTTGGGTGTCACCGCTGTGTTGTAAATGCCTCATTGGTGGTGACACTTAGGTGTTGTTTGCCTCTTTCCTCTCATCCTCTCATGAATGAGCATTGAGATTTTCCACAGATGGCATTAAGTCTGAGACAAGGCAGCAGGCTAGCTGGACATGGACACCTCAAGTGACCAAGTCCATGTCAGGTGGACGGGAGGTTTTCACAAATGTACAGCACTGTCACTGTGTCCTTCAATTTATTATTTTGAAGGAAAACATGTTTTCTCTCTGGAGAAGTCCATTCTGATTTATAAAGGAGAGAATTAGTTTAAAAAGAGGAAGACTGTCCATGAGGTGGGTTGACACAGTGGCTGCAGCAGGGGCTTGGACACAGCGGAGACGTGAGGACGGCTCAGGAGCGGGCAGGGTTTCCTTCTGCCAAATGTGGGTGGATATGAGTCCGAGCTGACTCCACAGCACCTCACAGCAGCAGCTACGTGTGAAGGAGTTTCTTTTTGCTGCTGTAACAAAAATGCAAACCTAGTCTCTCAAACCCACACTACTTTGTGATCTCCATTCAATCTGCCTCACTGACCCAACTCCGGGTGTCCGCAGGCTGCCTTCTGCAGGGCCCAGGGGAGAGTCCACTGTGACTTGTCCAGCCTCTCAAGATGGTCCTCCTCCTCCATCATCAGAGCCGGCCCTATACCATTGTGCCTGGGTGACCTCCGTCTGCCCTCTTGTAAGGACACTGTAGTTCTGTCAGACCTCCTCCCCATCTCGATCCATGACTTGCGTAAGTGGACAGAGAACTTGTGTAGTATGAGGTAGCAGTTCTGCAGTGAGGATATATTTGAGGCCATTGTTGAGGCAAGTATTTACTCAGCTCATTGGGTTAGCTGCGCAGTGCCCTGTGGACTGACCTACCAGAACTCTCGTCAAGGCAACCACAGACCTCATGAACCCATCTGGCAAATCTTGCTAATGACTAATATGTTCTAAAGCAAATGTTGACTAGTTGAGACCATTCGAGGCCAAACATAATAGGTGTGACAACCAGGGCCTTGGACAGTGTGGAGACCGCTTCATATGAGACTAAACAACATATTCTTCAGGGTCAGTCAGCTTGTCACCAACAGCATAGTCTGGACACACTGCTGTCTAGTGGGTTCCAACTCACAGGGAGCCCAGGAAGGGGTAGAGTGGCCTCGTAGGGTTCCTGAGACTGTCATCTATATGGGAGTAGACCGAGCATCTTTCTCCTACAGAGCGGCTGGCATCTCAACACTGTAACCACTGCACTGTGAGGCCCAGTGGCTTTGTCATAAAGGTAGACCCGTTAAGATGATATGTATCTTTTTTTTTCTTTTTTAAATTTTTTTTTGATATGTACCTTTTAAGCTAAATGGAATTCTCCTTTAAAACCATCTTCATGTTGTGATTATTCATTCCCCCTTTGCCCCTTCCCTGTAGGGAAGGAAGAATACTGCAGCAATTGTGAATTTGGCACGGCTGTGACATTTCTGTCTATCTCTTCTAGGTTGAAGAGATTAGAGGCAGCATCGCTAAAATTGCTCAGTATGTCGAAGACGTAAAGAAAAACCACAGCATTATTCTTTCTGCACCAAACCCAGACGGAAGTAAGTGCTGGGTTTCAAATGTGTGCGTGTGTGTGTGTGTGTGTCTACTCTTCACTCTCTCTGTCCACCTGCCTGTCCTGAGGGGCCTAGCCTGAGAAAGCACAGCTGCCCCCCATCTGTCATGTGCTGACTGGGCCCCAAGGGGTGCTCAGCTCCCACCTTCTTTCCTGGAGCTCATGAATTTCTTTTTCTCGACCCCCTCCTCTCCCCTTCTATCTCTTGTAAAATGACAGGTATTACGGGCCACACCCCTGGGAAGCCACCCTTACATCAGACCTGGGCTGTGGCTGTGACCCTGACCCTGACCCTCTTACAACTGATAGAGGGAGCACATATCGTTGGGGGTGGTTACTTCATTACATAATACCACCATACCACCAAGAATCATGGCCATGTTGACCTACAGTGTTGGGGGACACAGTTCAAGACAGTGTGAAATGTGTAGACCTCTCCAATGTGTGCCACCTCTGACCCTGCCTGGGAGTAAAAGTCCACATTACGTGCTCTCTCTTAGCTCCCTACATGTTAATGTAACTGCAGGGTTGCGTGGACACTTTGAAATGTCTACATGATGTCATTGAAATGTGGCGTTTTTGACATTTAAGGCAATATATTTATAAAACATCACTTTTGTGGAACACTCCACTTTCTGAACATGTCAGCTTAAAAGCTTAACACTATACCTACTATTGCTTTCTAGCCTCATCTTTAGTTTGCTTTCAGTACTGAAGAGAATTTGAGGGTTTGGAGGTGGAACAGGCCTGGGCCTGAGTGAATCATTTGCTGGGGGAAGGCCTCATAATTTTCCTAACCTCACAGGGTCTCCAATTTCCTGCCTGTGAGTGGAGGTTCCTGCGGCATCTGATGCATGTCTTCCTCATGATAAGGAAATGAAGTAGTTTGTGTAAGAGGTTTACACGGTGCCTGGTGTGTGATGATATCATCTACGCTGGTCGTGGCAGGCCAAAGACCTTGCGTGCCCATCAAGGTGTCAGCCAGAGACCCTGGGGAGCAGTTCTGTGTACTGCCACGTGGGGGTGCTACGAGTCACATCACAAAAACGGGGATTTGTCTTTTAGTTTTAGCTTTCTTTGATAGAGTTGATAGGCTGCAGAAATTGGCCAGAGTAATTAAACTTGCAATAATTCTTTGAGATACAGATACTAATATAAGGTTATGTCGAATAGTATTTTAACTAGACTTTTAAGAAAGAGTTTTCCACTTTTTCCCTGAAATTGAGGGTGAGATGAGAGTACCCTCCGTTCCCACTTCCATCCAGTGTTGCACAGGGGTCCCGGCCAGTGCTCAGGTTCATAAAACAGTAAAGGGCTGAAGGACAGAGAGAAGAGGAGCTATTCAAGATGTCACCCACTACAGACACAACCCAGCAGAATCTGTCACTAATTAAAATTAGTGTAAACGAGGCAAAGTGATCACTTAATACTTTACATCCCTAAATGCTAGTAACAAATGGAAGAGAAATGAAATATAAATCATTATATTAAAATCAGAAACCCCAAACCATTGAGTATCTGGGAAGAGAGCTATAGAGAAGTGTGTAAGATCTTGACACTGCCCAGAAAAGACAGCGGACAGAATTTAAAGAAGTAAAAGGGAGTTAGTCTATATTCAGGGATGAAAAAACTCAATATTGCTGAAATCACAGTTCTCCCACCAACATGAGCTGTAATTCACTACAGTCATGAACAAAAGCCTAATAGAGTTTTATGCAGAAATTAGAAAGCTGATTATAAAATGTACAAGGAAATGCAAAACTGCAAGAATATCCCAAGCAATTTCCAGCGGTAAAGCTGGGGGGGGGATGTGTGGTTTCCACTGCCAGATGCTGTTATAAAGAAATCACAAAAAGTGTGTGCTTGTAATTATGGCCACACTTACCAGCATGGTCAGCTTCCAAAGACCGGGTCGTTATGTGAAAATAGGGGATCAGAGAAAATGGGAGGATGACCACATCATTACAGAACTGTCAAACTCCATCATGACGTAGTAGCTGTCGAATCACGTCATGAAGGAACGGCCAAGGTGCCACTTAACTGTCTTCTTGCACTCCGGCATTTGTTACAGCCAGACGTCCATTGTTAATGCACAGGATAGCCAGATAGCAGACTTTTCACTGTGGTCATAAATGTGATCTGTCAGACAGGGAGGTAGCTGCTGTAGAGCTTTGTTGTTGTTATGTGCCGTCGAGTCATTTGCGACTCATAGCGACCCTATGTACAACAGCCCTAAACCGTGCTCTATCCTGTGCCAATCTCATTGCCTCTGACACACCCATCTCGAGTACCCCAGTTACTGAATCAATCCACCTCATAGAGGGTCTTCCCCTCCTGCGCTGTCCCTCTACTCTACCCAGCATGATGGCCCTCTCTATAAAGACCTGTCTCTCCTTACAACATGTCCAAAGTATGTCAGACAAAGCCCCAGAATCCTTGCCTCCAAGGAATAGCCTGGTTTAATCCTCTCTAGGATGAATCTGTTTGCTTTCTTGGAGGTCCATGGTACATTCAATACTCTTCTCCAGCACCACAGCTCAAAGGCGTCAATTCTCCTTCTATCCTCCCTAGTCATTGTCCAACTCTCTGATGCATAACAAGTGATTGCAAAAACCATGGCCTGTATCAGGTGGACCTTAGTCTCCAGAGAGACACTGTTGCTCTTGAGTATTTTGGAGAGGTCCCTAACCGCAGACTTTCCCATCGCAATACGTTTTTTGATTTCCTGGCTACTGGTGCCAAGACTGTAGAGCTTCAGTATAGGCAAAAAGGAAGGAGACTAATAAGAGATACCTGGGGTGAGGTCTGTGCGAGATTCTGGTCCAAGCTTGCGTGCCCCAGCGAGGAACACTGCTCACCACGTTCATCAGTGTCTTTTATCAACCAGGCAGCTGAGGCTTCTGTGTCCAGCGCCTTTACTGAGATCTCCCTGCATGGGCAGGACTGACCCGTCCAGGTTGGCTCATGTCAGACTCTTGAGTGGTCTCTCTGGCTTGGCCGGTTGCCCACTCATGAGTCCAAACCCTCAGATGTGGTTAAATGACAAACAAACCCACTGCTTTCCAATCAATCTTGACTCACAGCAAGCCAGTGGCACAGAACAGAAATGCTGTGGGCGCTCCAAGGCTGCAGATCGATCTTAAGAGAGCGGCTCCCTCATCCTTCTCCTGTCCATTGGCTGGGGAGCTCAGACCCCTGACGCTTTAGCTTGCAGCCAAGTGCCACTGCTCCACCACACTTCCTTTCTTGTGTAAATAACAAAGCACTGCATTTATCCAGGAAATGGCAAGGCTGTGGAGTCATCCCTCAGGAAACAAGGCAAACACCAAGTTACTTAGGGTGATGTTAGATGTTAAATTCTGTAATAGCATTTGCTAAAGTTAAATTTGCAAATGAAAAAAATACATCTGTCTCTCATCCCTGAAAATCACCCATAACTGAAAATAAGGGCCCTGCCTGTCAGGTGATGTGCTAGCTGGTCAGTCAGGTAATGGGGGGGCAGGGCAGGGGAAAGGTGGTAGGTCAGCCAGGTGTAGGTGGGCCAGGTGGTGTGTGAGTCAGGTAGTGGACCAGGTAGCCTCACGCCTGGGGATATTCTGTGGGTCAGTGGTGCTGTACTGAGTGGTACAGTCTGGGATTTGCGGGATGTCCACCCCAGTGCTGCCCTCATCAGGCTGGTGCACTGGGGTCGGGGGTAGGGTGTGCATGTCCCAAGCTCTCCTTTGTTAAGCCACGCCCTGCCTCTGGTCACTCCCTCCTCCCACCAGCTGGCAGAGGGACCTCCTCAAGCCTGACTAATGCCATTCTTAGCTCAGAAACCTTCAGTGGGGACCACTGCTGATGGAATGAAGACAGGGCCTAGCCTTCTGGGTCCCCCATGCTGCTATCCCCCACTCCTGAGCCCTGGCCTTGCTCCTGGGTCCAGTTTTGCTGTTTGTATTTTGGAAGCCTCTCTATCCTTCTGACCCCAGTTCAAGCAAACACCCCTTCTACTGACTCTGCCCCTCTTGCTTGCCCACAATGTTGTTCTAGAACCTTCTTAGCATTGGTTGTGGCCTGCTTTGCACTGGTCCTGTGCCTCTGACCTCCAGAGTAGGCATGACTGGACTTCAGGCACAGATTACATGTGGTCACGGGTTAGTTGACGGGGAAGTCACAGCAAGGAGGGTTTGCACTGGTCCTGTGCCTCTGGCCTCCAGAGTAGGCATGACTGGACTTCAGGCACAGATTACATGTGGTCACGGGTTAGTTGACGGGGAAGGCACAGCAAGGAGGGTGAAATGTGAGCATCTCCTCTCGGGCTGGGCCCGTGTGCTAGTGGTGACCAGCCGCTGTGACCCTGGTGAGTTGGCGCAGATACTCCTGTGCCGCACGCGGGAGCCCCCTTGGCTCCATCAGATACAAGGTGGGGACCCTGCCACGTGCTGACTGCTGGGCATGGAGGGAGCATGTGCGCGTCCTGAGCTGGTGACAGCCTTTCCACCAGGACAGCTGGGCAGAACCCAGGCGGAGTGCTCAGGTCTCCTCACGTGTGTGCGGCCTGTGGGTGCTGACTGCCACAGCTCACGTGCCTTTCCCTTTTCTTTCATTTTTAAAGAAATAAAAGAGGAGCTTGAAGACCTAAACAAAGAAATCAAGAAAACTGCAAATAAAATTCGAGTCAAGTTGAAGTGTAAGTTGAAAGTCTCCATTACGTTTAATTATTGATGGCGGGTGTGAGGGCCGCGGCTCCCCTGTAGTTTCTCGCTCTTTGATGTTTCAAAACAAGGGCTGTGGTGGCTCTGGAGCCGCTCGTTCTGGGGTTTAGAAAGGCAAGTCGGTAAGTTTTTATGTATGCTACTTACATAGAGGAGAAAAACACTCACATTCAGCAACTTGTCTCTAACTTGCTAATCTCTTTATTTAGTTAGGGAGCTCTGGTGGCTGTGGTAAGGAGCTGCACTGCCAACCTAAAGGCACGTGGTTCGAATCTACCAGCTGCTCTTTGGGAAAAAGATAGGTAGGCTTCTCGCATGCAGTTTACAGCCTCTGAACACCTCTGGAGGGTCAGCTGCGAGTCAGTTCCCCCTTGATGGCAATGAGTTTAATACAGTTATACTATTAGATTTTTATGACTTTTTGGCTAAAATTGCAGATATTTGAAGGAGCCCTAGTGGTGCAGTAGATAGTTGAGAAGTCAGTGGTTTGAGCCCACCATGCACTCTGTGGGAGAATTCTGTAGCCTGTTCCCGAAAAGACGGCACATCAAATGGAATTGCCTGGCGGCACTGGGCTTGGCCTCGGGGTTGCAGATTCGTGAGAAGGTGGAACAGCTCCTCGGCTGAGGGCTTTTGTTGGTGGCTTTTCCAGCTGGTTCTTGTGCTTCCAGCTCACTTGTTGATGGCTTCCTGTTCTGTAGACAACGCTGCTTCCTGGGACAGATGCTGCTTTTTTCTCGGTGTGGTCGGAGACACGTTTTGCATTTCCTTTATACAAAAAGAGCATGAAATCAGGAAGGGTCTGTGTGACAACAACCCCCCTCTAAGTAAAGAAAAGGTCAGATGTGTGTGGAGCAGATAGACTGGCCCGTGTCCTCAGCCTCTTGGTCTCATTGCTCAAACATAGGAGTCCAGAGGGAGTTGGGCTGCTGAGCCTGGGGCTGCCAGCCTCTCTCTGGAGGTTCATCCCCCAGTGGCTCCAAGGGAGAAAGGTGGACACTTCCCTCTGGTGTGACTTAGAGCCTTGGAATCCCACTGGAGGGCCAGCTGTGAGTCTGAACCAATTTGACAGCAGAGAGAGAGAGAGAGAGAGAGAGACACACACACACACACACACACACACACACACACACATACTACTACTACTACTACTACTACTACTACTACTAATCAGGCCTAAATAAGATGAGTCACTATTTACTATTATAGTGATAGTAGTAAACACTGGCCTAGTGGTAAGGAACTGTGCTGTAATCCCAAAGGTACGTGGTTTGAATCCCCCAGCTGCTTGGCAGGAGGAAGATGGACAATCTCCCGTGCAGTTTCTTATCCCAGAAAACCTGCTGGGGGGTCAGCTAGGAGTCTGTTCTGACTCAATGGTACACAGCAACATTAATCAAATATTTACTGTATAACGTATACCCATTTGGGTTGAGTTTATTCCCACTCAGAGTTAACCCAGTTGGACTGAGTAGAATTGCCCTATGGGGTTTCTCAGGTGCTGTGTTCAGGGAAGCCGATTGCCTTATCTTTCTCTTGTACAGCCAGTGATGGATTTGAACCAACAACCTTTCACTTAGCAACTGAGGGCTCTACCGACTGTGCAACCAGAGTTCCTATAGCGTAGCTCAGAGATAACAGGTTTGAGTGTAGGCCACCACAATAAAGCTAATTTTCCAGTAAAGCGAGGCTACACACCATTTTTCATTTCTCCATGCACGTAAAAGCGCTGCTGGCGCTGCTGCAGTCTGTTAATGGAGTGTGACCACAGCGTGACACCGAGGCATGAAGGGAGGTCCTGCTGTCGGGGAAATGGTTCCAGCAGACTCTGTCTCTCAAGCCTTCAATTTGACTAAAAAAAGGAGGAGAAAGGCAGCCTTGTCTGCGAAACACAGCCCGCCGAGCGTGGGGAGCCCAGGCAGGCCCGCCCGGGGTGCTGTTAGCCCAGCGTGGGGAGCCCAGGCAGGCCCGCCCGGGGTGCTGTTAGTCCAGCGTGGGGAGCCCAGGCAGGCCTGCCCGGGGCGCTGTTACTGGTGGTCCACTCAGCATTGTGCTGGAGTCTCCTGCTGTCCTTTTCCCTCTTTTTTGGTACCATTTGTTTGAGTTGGGATCTACAGGAATGGACACTGTTCATTGGAGACTTTTTGGGATCAGGCTCTCTCTTCATCCTTTCCCCCCATATTTTCTCTTTTGGGAAGGAAACTGTTCACTTGTCCATCAGATCATTTGCCAGCCACTGGTTGTGGCCCCTCCGCCGCTGTGTGCCATTGTCCAGGGTCCACAGCCCCTGTGTCATGACTGCCTCCAGCCTTGGTCATACTCACGGCTGGTTTTTAGTAAAACTGTCTGGTTCTGTTTCGTGATGTCACAAACAGTTGACCACTGAGGTCCAGAAATCCACTAGGAGCGCTAAGCAGTGGTGCCCACAGACCCCGATTCCTTCTTTATTTACAAGCTAGATGGTTCCCTCATTGCCTCTGCTTGTCCTGAGGTGCAGCCTGCTGGGAAGGGTGTCAGTTATTTTCCTTTGTGTATTGTTCTCACAACTGGCTCCCTAGACCCAAACCAAGCCACTACCATCGAGTCGGTTCCGACTCTCAGCGACCCTGTGGACAGGGAGGAACTGCCCATTTCGGGATCCAGGCCTGTAAATCAGCAGACTATCATCTTTCTCCTGCAGGCTGCCACCTGCTTCAAAATTAAGCCCGATGCTAACCCACCGTGCCTCTTCAAGCCACAGTTGGTGTGTTTGGTGCTTTTTATTTTTAGTTTTTTGACATTATTTTTTAAATTTAATTTTTAAAATTCCAGTGGTTTACAAATCAGATTGACTCTTCATACAAGTATTCATAGACTTTTTCTTTTATAACAATAATTACTTTTGATTAAAGTGGTTGTTACAGTGTCTAATCAACCCTTTATTTACCATGACTTTTTGTAAACATTGGATTTTGCTTTTTAATTATGCCGAGTGCTTATGTCTCCAAAGTCAAATCTGTAGAACAAATTCTAGTCAGAATGGTTCAGCTTCTCTCCCGGTGCCTCTCCCTATTCCCCCTTCCTTCCAAGTGTTTTCTGGGATAGTTAGGGCCTCTCTTTCCGAGAGGTGCCCATGTCTAGGACATTTCGGGGTTATCTTTCCAGGCAGTGGTTGGGGGCTATCTTCCCCTTGCTTTTTTCTATAAGCAGAGACACACTCGGCCCCCCTCGCTTTATCGCGCTCCACTTCACTACACTTTGCAGATATTATTATGCTTTTTTCCTCGAGAACTGGAGGGTAAATTGTGTCCACCCCGTGTTGACCAGATGTGCTGATGCCACGTGCGCACCTCGTCTCTTTGTCCTGTTTGGTTCATTCTTCCACTGTCTCACACTTGTCACGATGTTCTTGCACTCGAGACTGCAGTGTGGTGTGAATGTCACTTTTACGTGCACTAGGAAATGCCCTTTCTCACAGTACCCGCTTGATTGGCGTGTTGAGGAACCAGCCCGCAGTACCTTTGATGTGTGTGCGCGTGTGTACACTCACACAGCAAAGTTTCCTTTTGATGGGTCATCCTTACTGGATTATTCTAACCTGGATTATCTTTAACTGGATGGAGATGATTTGGAGATGAGACAGTAAAGCCTTTTTTAAAATTTGGGCCAGAAAAGCTCTTTTTTTCTTTTCACTTAAATAGCAGCTCTTTTCTGTTTGTATCCAGCTATTGAGCAGAGTTTCGATCAGGATGAGAGTGGCAACCGGACGTCTGTGGATCTTCGGATACGACGGACCCAGGTTTGCCGACTGGCCCCTTCAGACGGCAGCTTCCGTGCCCACGGATGAGCCCTCGATGCAGAGTCCACTTGCCGTCACGTGTTTCTTCCTGACATTTCACAGGCCGCTGGTGGTGTCAGGAGGCCACTCATTGTGACCGTGTGTGACACAGTAGAACTGTCCCCTCAGGTTTCCCAGATTATGATCGTCACAAGAGCAGGTGACTTACCTGTGTGTGGAGAGGAACAGTACCACAGCCAGCCTGTCAGCAGAGTGATGGCCTGGAGGGCAGACAGGTGCCCTGTCCTCCAGTGTGTGGCTGTGTTCACTTGTGGTGGAGCTTATGGTCCCACAGGGCAGTGTGTGGCCATGTCCACATGAGGTGGAGCTCACAGGTCACTGTGTGGCCTTGTCCACGTTTGTTGTGACTTATAGACCTCCCAGGGCAGTGTGTGGCCATGGCTACTTTTGGTGTAGCTTACCATCCCCATAGGTCAGTGTGAGGCCTTGTCCGCTTGTGATATAGCTCACAGTTCCGCAGGGCAGTGTGAGGCCTTGTCCGCTTGTGATATAGCTCACAGTTCCGCAGGGCAGTGTGTGGCCTTGTCCACATGGAATGTAGCTCACAGTTCCGCAGGGCAGTGAGCAGCCTTGTTTACATGTGTTGTGGCTTATGGTCCCCACAGGGCAGTACATGGCCAGGTCCCCTTGTGGTGTGACTGATGGTCCCCATAGGTAAGTGAGCGGCTGTGTCCAGGTGTGGTGTGGCTTACTGTGCCCACAGGGTAGTGTGTGCCCATGTCCATCATGTGGCTCACGATCCCCAAAGGGCAGTGTGTGACACGTCCACTTGTGGGGCTTACAGCCCCACAGGGTAGAGGGTGAGCCCTCATCTTGACCAGGTAAGGTGGCGGGTGGGCGAGCTTCCAGACCCAGTGCCCACCTTCAGCCCTGCTGTCCTCTTCCTTAAATCAGTCAAACACAGGCAAGTGATGCGACTCTGTGAATGACACGAGGTGCGGGGCCCGTGGCCTTTGCTCTCAGTCGGGCTCTCTTGTCTATAAAGTGGGGAAATACTGCAATAGTGTGATTGTCGTGAGTATGAATGGGGCGGAGGTACATCAGGTTCACGGCCCGGGGGAGGTAGCCCTCCTCATTCCCCATTTGAAGGATTCACATGACGGATTGGTTTCTGAAGAGTTATGACCACCGTGTGTTACTCTGACTTCTCTTCCTCACTAGCATTCAGTGCTGTCTCGGAAGTTTGTGGACGTCATGACGGAGTATAACGAGGCTCAGACTCTGTTTCGGGAGCGGAGCAAGGGGCGCATCCAGCGTCAGCTGGAGATAAGTGAGTGTGTGTGGGCCTCAGCGAGCTGAGAGCATGCCTTTCTTCCCGTAAGGTCTCCCCTGACAGGGCTTTAACTTCAGGAAGTAATTCCATCTCTGTTTTATCAGTAGTGAAGGTTTTTTAATGAAATAAAAAAAAATCTCAACACCTTTCATAGTTTCCTGCTCTTTGAATAAATCCATTCTACTGTTTATGTACATCTTTCAGAAAATTCTAGGTGGTTGGACATCTTACCATTATTGGTAGAGTTTTCATTAAGTTTGGGAAATTTTGGGCAGTTATTTCTTCCCATATTTTTCCTGCACTGGGTGGAGAAAACATTCCCACGGGTGTACCCCTGCCCTCCTGTCCCGATGCCCTTCCCCGGGGTTGTTTATGGCAGCTCGCCAGGGGGCGGGGGTGAAGGGGGTGGGGGTGGCGGTTCCTCCCCTAGAGCAGACAGTGGTTCTCCCCACTAGCAAAGATTTGGGGCCCAGAAGTCTGCATGTCCTCAGCTGTGACTGGTTAGTGTGCAGGTCGGTAACTCTCACTCCCCTCCGAGGTCCTGGCACCCCACCACATGCCATCCCCTTCCGGGGCTGTGGTCACTTCCACATCAGGACTGCCGGTCTGGTGCACTTTTAATGGTTACAAAAGTCTGTGGTTCTTGTTCCTCCTTTTTCTAATCTGCCTTTAATCCCACCAGTGTGTTTTTACCTTTGGACATCTCGTTTTCATCCGCAGAGGTTCTGGCTGGGCATTGCTTTGTATCTTCCATGTCCTTTACTGAGTGTTAAGAGTATAGCTGGTGTTGCTGTCAGTTTCTTCTGATTATTCTAATGTCTGTGTGCCTTCTCTCTCAGTTTGAATGAACCAAATTTTCTCCTCACTAGGGACTTTGCTTTTTTGCTTCTTTATATGCCTGCTGGTTTTCAAGTGCCAGGCAGGATAATTTTTACTTTGTTTACTACCAGATATTTTTGGACTTCTGTAAATATCTGTGAGTTTTGTTTTGGGATGCAATTAAAGCTGGTGGTTTAGTCCTCTTGGCGCTGCGAAAAAACTATAATTTTTTAATTAATTACTTTCTGGTTCTTCCTAGTTAATATTAATAGTCTCATGTTGGTTTTCCTCACCATTAATACTTGCTTAAGAAAATATATTTGAAAGAATAGAAAAACACTTGTTTGGAAATGTTAACAAGGTAAAGTTCTGTTGTGAACTTAGGGTTGAAAAAGTCTTCATTTTAGACCATTCTGAGGGAAACCTTTCACCCTTTTCATGCAGCTGGCAAGACCACCACCAATGAGGAGCTGGAAGAGATGCTGGAGAGTGGGAACCCCTCCATCTTCACCTCTGATGTGAGTGCAGCTGAGTTTCCTCTATCTCCTGTTTGCCTTTAGCTTCCAAGCCAATTCTGGCCTCATCAGCATTTCTCTCTTGTTGTTTGTGCTTTTCAAAGATTATATCAGATTCACAAATCACAAGGCAAGCTCTCAATGAAATTGAGTCTCGTCACAAAGACATCATAAAACTAGAGACCAGTATTCGGGAGCTGCACGAGATGTTTATGGACATGGCTATGTTTGTTGAGACTCAGGTAAGCACGCAGAGCCTGATCCTTTAAAACGGCTCCCTGTCACAGGGGAAATCTCCTGCTTGACTCCATTCTACCCGAGAAAGTAATTTTTAGGGTCTGGTCTCAGAATTCATGCAGTCAATTGCTGTGTTAAACATGACAGGGAATCAGTTGAGAGAAGGGTCTGATAATTAAGTGACCTACTTACTCGTAGGGTGACCTCAGGCCTCATAGGGTGACCTCCTATCTGCTCATTGAGTGACCTCTGATCTACTCTTAAGGTGACCTTTTTACCTGTTCATAGGGTATCCTCTGAATTGCTCATAGGGTGACCTTCATCCTGATCATAGGGTGACCAACCTTCTAGTAGGGTAACCTCTGATCTGATCACTGTCCTGCTCCTTGAGTGACCTCAGACCTACTCATCAGGTAACCATTCTGCTCATAGAGTGACCAGCCTGCTCATGGGGTGACCTCTAACCCGCTCATAGGGTGATCATCAGACGGCCAGAGGCCTGGGCTCACCCGTTGCATATGTCACCAGCCTTTTGAAGAGCATTGTGTATTTTGAGGAATTTTATCATGAAAGTGGGTGTGAAGAATTTAGAGTCTATACTGGAAGAAAACAATAGTCACACGAGAGGTGGGGGAGGTGGGAGGTCACAGGGATGGAACAATTTGATTTCTTTCTGTTTTGAGCGTGCTCTCCATGACGTGAGACGTGGGAGAGTTGGGTGGGGTCTCACCACAGCTTCTGTTTCCAGGAGCCTTCCTGTTCACGTCCTAATGACAGCCTTGCAAAGCAGTGGGCAGTTCTACTCTGTCCTGCAGGGTCTCTGTGAGTCGGAAATGACTAGACAGCAAAGGCTTTTTATGTATATTCCAGAGGAAACCAGTTAGGCAGTGACAATCTTAGACTATGCTTATAATTACCAAAGATGTTGCAGTACCTTACACCCTAGTATTAGTTGTTCTATACTCAGTGTCTTTAAGCTCCCTCAGAACATGTGTTGCATACTTACCTTTGCTCCGCGGTTTCCTCGCCAAGGGGTTCTAGTGCGGGCTATATTGGCTGGTCTAACTCAGAGTACATGTGTAATAAGTTAACACTTGTCAATGAACTGCTCGTCACTCTTCACTGCTTTCCTGTTCACTGCTGCAGTCTGTCTGCCAGGGACGGAAAACCAGGTAATGTGTCCTCTCCTTCACATTCCACTGGGGTCACCTCATTTACCTTTGTTCCCTCAATGTAGTTAATTCAGGGTCACCTATAAGCTACCTTCACTTTATTGATACTTTAAAATAGCAACCATTTCCTTCCATGAAAAAAGATGTTCTTTGTCGTCTGTTGTGTGATTTGTACATAATCATGAAATCATTCGCTTAAGCTAAAGTGAACTTCCACCCTTCACTGTGCCATTTTTAAAGAGAATGTAGCATATCTCTGCATCTCCCTGGTATGCCTTCAACATCAGCACTGCTGCCCACCCCTTAGTGCTTTTGGAATTAGAAATGAAATTTCAGGTGCTTTGTGTTGGCACATTTTCAGTGAGTCCCACCTCTTACATATTCAGTATCCATCACACACGCTTCATGTTTGCATTAAAAGTTCCCGGATGTTTTGTGCTGTTACCTAACCAGGTTGTTTGAAAGCTTCTCCTGAATTTGAAACTTTTTATTTTAAGGGTGAAATGATCAACAACATAGAAAAAAATGTTATGAATGCCACAGACTACGTAGAACATGCTAAAGAAGAAACTAAAAAAGCTATTAAATATCAGAGCAAAGCACGAAGGGTGAGTTTGTTTTTTAAGAATTAGTGTATTTTTAAAAAAAAAAAAAGAATTAGTGTATTTTTCTTTCTCCCTGGTTTTCAAGTTATAATTCATTAACATAAACTTGCTTACAAGATATTTCAAGAAATAAAAGTTTGTCATGAAATATTTCATTTTATATTTGAGTTTATTCTTTTTACTGAAAAACTTTTTAGTTGAAATCTTTCACAACCAAAAGTCAGGTGAGTTTATTTCCTCTCCCCCTTTAGTTTGACTGAATATAAAATGTCATTGTTCTCTGTTTCTTGTGCCATTTTCTGGAGGGAGGAGCAAAATGAATAGGAATAAATTGTCTTTCAAAATTGTTGGCTGCCCCAGGTAACACAGGAGGAATTTTTTAAAAAATAAAAATGTAGTTTGTTCATTCCTTTGTTTGGAGAAAAGAATTACTTAAGGCTATGTAGTGAAAAAGTTATATAGGCTGATGGGAGCTCTGGTGGCCTAGTGGTAAAAAGTTACGTTTACAACCTCAAAGGCACATGGGGTTTGAGTCTACCAGTTGCTCCTCAGGAGAAAGATGAGCAGTTTGCTTCTGTGTGACTTACTGCCTCTGACAGCCTGCTGGAGGGTCAGCTGTGGGTCGATTCTGACTCAAAGGGACACACAGCAACATAGATCACATATAAAGGTGTCTTTAAAAGGAAGAGGGCTCCTTTCTGCTTAGATCCCACGTACTTGAGTCTCACAGTGACTTTATAGGGCCGAGCAGAACTGCCTACAGTATTTCCAGGCCTTATGGACGTGCCCTGCTTTGTATTTACCACACAGTGAGTGCCTGGTGGGTTTGAACCACTGCTTTTAGTTACTATCAAATGCTTAACCATTGCACCACCAGGGCTTCTTCCATAAAAGTTAGGATAACCCAATTTTAACTCTTTGTTATTGAGGCCCAAGTTTAAGATTTTTGCTGATGTAGGTATTTTGTTTTAATTCCTCTGAAACTTGAGAAATTACATATTTTTACATCATCACCTCTATCAGCACAGGTACTATGGATGACTTGGTCTTTGTAAGGGCTTTTTCATACTCTTAGCTGACTCTTACATGTATCAGATGTGAGAGTTAAAAGTCTTCTATGAGTGGGTCAGAGATCAAGGGATAAATCCCCCAAACCATAAAGATCATAAGAGATACTGACTGGGGAAAAAAACATTTGGCAATACCATCTCAGACTAGTCTCATAACAAAAGTTGACAAAATCCTGCAGGGCCTCCACTTGAGAAAGACTGATAACCCAATTACAAAATGGACAAAAGACATGGAAAGACCTTTCACAGAGGAAGATACTCGGATGGTCAACAAACACATGAAGAAATGCTCAAAATCACTGGCAATAAGAGAGATGCAAATCAAAACCACAATGAGATACCATCTCACCCCAATAGCAGTGGCAAAGTTTTAACAGGACACACAAGTAATAAATGTTGGAGGGGATATAGAGAGATAGAACTCTTAGACACTCTTGGTGGAATTGTAAAGTGGTACAACCATTCTGGAAGGCCATTTGATGTTTCCTCAAAATGCTGAACATAGAAATTCCATATGACCTGTGACCCAGCTTTCCCACTGCTTGAAATATACCCCGAGAAAATCAGAAATGAGACACAAACGGAGATTTGTACACCAGTGCTCATAGCAGTGTTATTCACCATCACAAGATCATGGAAACAGCCCAGATGTCCAACCACAATTGAATGGATTGAGAAATTGTGGTGCATGCATACGATGAAATACTATGTAGCATGCAGGAGCAATGATTCTGAAAATTACTACTTAACTTGGGAGGGACTGGAGAGCATTATGCCAAGTGAACTAATCCAGTCCCATAAGGACAAATACTGTATAAGACCATTATTGTAGAAATAGATAACTAGTAAAACGTGTATGAGGCTCCAAGGAGGGGAGGGGCGGAGCAGGGCGGTAGGGATGGGTGGGGGTGGGGTGGGTAATCATAGGGTCGCACAATTCAGTGGGGAGAGGGAGGAGTGGGTAAAGGAAATGGGAAAGATCCCGTGTGAAAAATGGTGTAAATGAGCTTTGTAAGCAAACCAGTATAAAACTAAAATGGATTTTTTTTAAAAAGTCTTCTAAGAAAACAGTGGGAACTCTAGTAGCCCAATGGATAGAGAGTTGTACTGCCCGCTCAAAGGTGGGTGGCTCGAATCCAGCAATTGCTCCATGGGGGAAAGATGAGCAGACTCGTGCAATTTCGAGCCGCTAAAAACCCGCCCGAGGGTCAGCAGTGGGTCAGTAGCAGCTCAGTACACACCAGCAACAGGAAGTGCCAGAGGAAGATGGTATTCTCCTCCTAGTGCCATCTAAAGCCTCCAGAAACCTGCTGGAGGACCGGCTGTATTCAGTTTATTAAACAAAAAATTCTCCTAAACTTGAAACCTCTAGTGGCCTGGGAGTTAGAGGCTGCTGCACTGTGATCCCAAAGGCACTCGGTTCAAATCCACCAGATGCTCCAAGAAAGGAGGAGGGGTATTCTCTGCTGCCTCTGAAGTCCCGCTGGAGGGTCTGCTACGAGTCACTTCTGACTCGATGGCACACACCGTGAACTTGAATTAAAGCCTAAAGCCGTCCCTTTGTGGCATTTCTGTTACAGCTGTACTCAAGAACTAGGACACCCTAGTTTATCTGGGATTCCCCCCCCATTTTTTTTTTCTTGAGAGCCAAAATTGTTCTTCAAGGTTAAACAGGCCTGTAATGCTGACATTAAAATCAGTCCTCTGGGATCATTTTCTTGTAAGTGGGTGCTGTCTTCTAAGGTGACAGGGTGCCTGGCCCAAAGCATGATATAATCAGCTTGCTTTTCTTTGACAGAAAAAGTGGATAATTGTCGCTGTGTCAGTGGTTCTGGTGGCCGTAATTGCTCTAATAATTGGTTTGTCAGTTGGCAAGTGATGATGCAGACGACGACAGTGTGCATGCCCTCTGCCAGCGCGGCAGTAAGTAACTAATCAGCTCGTTTCCTCATTAACGCTGCTAACCAGCCAGGCTGGGCCTGTTAATTGACTTAACAATGAAATCCTGCGGCCTGCACAGCGGGTGTGGGTGGCGCTGCTGCTGGCCCGTGCGTGTTCTGCGTCTGGCCTTGGCACCCCCGGCCGTGTTCAGTCCTTGGCGGGCTCCCTTTCACAGCATCCCCGTTCACCTCCCTTGCCTCCGTGCCATAGTGTGGCAGGCGGTATTGGTTCCTGAGCTCTTTCCGTCTTTGGATTTCTGAAGACCATTGCTCTCAGTGTCATTGCTTAAAGCCGATACCCACACCCGTGATGATTAACGCTTACTTTAAAAAAAACTAACATTTGTTTCTTCAGATGCTGCTTAAATTTTTAACCCTTCTAAAATAATTGCAACTACTGGAGGTTGCTTTGTAAAATGTGTTTAGAAAATAAAATAGTATCGAAATAAAACAGTATGAAAAGACGTAAAAAATATGTATTTGTTTTTCATTTGACTGTGGAATTAGAGGGGATGGTGTGCAAACTGGGACAAGTGTTACAGAGATGAAAATGCTTTGTTGAAGTTACTTAATTTTATTTGGCATCATCTATTTTGTTTGGAAATATTTCCTTACTAAAGTGGAAATTTAGAATGCTTGTTAATTCTTACTTCAGGGAGTCTGAGCAGAAAATGTATTTACGGTATTTTTTTTTTCTTAAATTGCTATCTTCCCTATCAATGACTTCATGTAACTGGGATCCACAGTCAATACCCTTGGTACCAGCAGGCACTATTAGCAAATCAGGACGCATACTGCACTGGGAAAGTCTGCAGTTAGGGACCTCTCCAAATTCTTGAGGAGCAGTGATGCCAGTTTGAGGACAAAGGTGCACACATAATTCAGGCCATGGTCTTTTCAGTCTCTTGTTGTGCATCTGAGAGCTGGGCAAAGAATAAGTATGACAGAAGAAGAATTAATGCCTTTGAGCTGTGGTCTTGGAGAAGAGTCAACAGATATGTCGTGGAGAGGGTGCAGCCAGAGTGCTCCTTGAAGGCAAAGAACAAAGCTTTTTCTCATATACCGTGAGCATATTGCTAGAAAAGGCAATTCCTTGGAGAGGGACATCAAGCTAAGGTGGAGGGTTAGCGGAAGAGAGGAAGACTGTCAACCAGATGGACTGACACACCGTAACAGCAGCCAAGGGCTCAAGTGTGTCAGATGGTGAGGACGGTGCAGGGTAGGACAGGGGTCAGGTCTGTTGTTCACAGGGTCGCTGTGAGTCATACTCGACTAGATGGTACCTAACACCACCACCATCCTGTGTCAGCCCAGCCCTTTCCCCCATTTGCATGGATTAGTCCCTCTCCTGCTGTCTCAGGTGCTCAGAATCTGCCTTTTTACCTTCACTCTTCACAGTGAGTTAAAGTGCTGGCTGGCATGTTTCAGTTGAATGTACAAGTTACTTCTCGTGAAGTGTCAGAGATAAAAACACTTGAGATGCCTGCCCAGGCTCTCTCAATTGTGAATGGAATCCCAATACTCACCCTTTTATTATGAAAGTCCCTGCCAACTTCACAGCCACCTGGCACTTAATAAAAGAAAAATTATTGTGGCAGAAAGGAGTAACATGTACAGACCTTTTGCGTATCCCTGCTGCTTTTCAGCTTTAAAATGTCTTAGCACAAGCATCTGCCACGCTGAGGGTTCGTAGTCGGAGGCCAGGTAGCTTTCTCAGTCAGCCCGGGTGGGGTCTGAGGCACTTTGTCAGTTTTGTGAGGAGCTCTGCCAGGTTGTGCTGGTGGTCCCCATTCCTGAGACAGGTAAAGAGGGCACGCTGCACCCTCAGGAGGCCAGGTGCTCCTGCGCCAGTTCCTAACATCCTCCATTGGCTCTGCTGGGGAAGAAAAATGGGAACGTCATTTCCTTTCACTGACACAATGGTATTTTCAATGTTTTTATAATTTTTTGAAGAATTACTATTTTCTTAGTGTTCCCTGGTACCCACACTTGAGTGTGGTCACACTACAGATAGAGTAAGAGGTTTACCTTGGGCTCAGGGCAGTGAGTGGCTTATCATTAGTGCTGATTGGTGTCCACATAGAATCAGAGAAGGTCCATCTGACCCTGTGTCCTTGCCCATCTGGTTATGGGACCCTCGAACGTACAAACTTGGAAAGAGTAAAACGAGCCTCGTTTGTAGAAACACACCAGAAGGCATACTCCACAGTTATTTTTGTGTACAAATGAATGTCTTTTAGAAAACAGTTTCAGAGACATTTCTTGGGCACATGCTTGTGGAACATCCTCTGTAGGCTTGTACTGAGATCTGCACTCCTGGGTGTGCAAGCCTTGTGCCTGGGGCAGGCTAACCCCTGTCTCGGGCAGTCTGCTTCCCCGAGACAGCTTGACCAGTTGGCTCAAGTTGACATCACGGCACCTCAGGTGAACTGGCTGGCAGGGCGGCTTTCAGCTCTAAAGGGCAGGGAGGGCTGCCCGCCAGCTTGCAGGCCCCACTGTCACAGGGGCGCCACCTAGCCTTTTATGCAGAGAACCTCAGTGTCTGGCTGGCCTTACCCTTCCCTCAGGAGGTGGTCATTGTTTCAGTAACGGATGCGGATGCTCGGAACTTCCTGTCTGCACCTCCCCTCCCCATCATGTGTGGCCCTTAGGGCTCTTCCTTGCCCAGGGGCTTCTCTGTGACACTACAGCGTGTGTCCAGGGTACTAGTGCCCGACCTACAGCTCCACTCCTCCTTGCCCTCCAATGCTGTGCCTGTTTGCCTTCACTTTGAACTAGCCTACTTACAGAAGTTACTCATCAGGGTCCCCTTCACTTGCTGCACGTGCAGCCTCAAAGTCACTCAAGAAGCCCCGGAACCTGTTCTTGCACCAGGCTGCTGCCCTGGAGTCAGTTCTGACCCCAAGTGACCCTTGGTCAGTTTTCTGAGGCTCTGAATCTTTACAGAGGTCAATGGCCTCATCTTTCTCCCTTGGTGGGTTCATACAGCTGACCTTTTGGTTAGCAGTCCATAGCTTGGCCTCTTGTGCCACCAGTGCTCTTTGTCCTTGCACAGAAGTGAGGCTAAACAGGAACCAGATGGCCTGCTTCAGCTCACCTGCAAACTTGCCTCAGAGACATACACACGGGGCCGGCACTTGTTCATAATCAGAGGGCTGCATGGGTCTCAGATCCGGGGAGGGTTCGGTTAGGAAAATGGCATAGATGGTCTTTGCTTTGATGTGCTGCAAAATAAATTAATGTTTCTCTTTATCTTGCAGAAAATGATGTTCATTATTATTTGTGTAATTATTTTGCTTGTGATCCTTGGAATTATCCTAGCAACAACGTTGTCATAGCAACCATGTCCCAGAGCTGAGTATCCTTGGAGGTTCCGACCACATCAGCAGCAGAATCAGCATCCCATCCCATCCCTTCAGGAGCGACTGTTCGGCATGGAGACCTAGGGCACCAGTGCCAGCTCTCCTTAGTGCCTCGGATGAGGCACAGCCGGTCTCTCTCCATGGCCACACCAGGGCCGGGATGTCTGGGAGGATTAACCCTGTGCCCATGGCCTCTGCATCCTATACTCATTTTACAAAGTGGAACTGGTTTCAATGGCCTTACATTAAGGGATTACTGAAAAATGTCTATTTTTTTTTAAATATTTCAGTGTTAAGTTTCTTATGTGAAGTTTGATTAGGAGTACTTTCAAATGAAACTTTTGAATTTCAGGTCTAAGACTTGATCCCTTCTCCGAACTAACAAGCTAATTAAGAGACGTTTTGTACCATGTTTACGTCATGCTTATTTCTTCTTTGCAAAAAAAATTCGTTTTTATGATCACAACTTTCTTGTAAGGTTTTAATCTATGGTTTCAAATGTTTATAAAGGAATTAATATATTAACATTCTAACTTCATTTTAGATACAAAATACTGCCTTTTAAATGAAACAGGACACCTCATACTATCAGAGCCATCTTTGTACTGTTGTTTACAAAGTTTGCCATTGCCATAAAAACCATTGCTTGCAAAGCATTCCAAAGAAGACTTTCAAGTGCCTTCTGTTAATATCACCTTACCACTTTTAAATGCTTCTGGGGCCCTACAGAAAAGTCTAGATTATTGTATTGAGTCCATCTCTATACCTGTTCCATTACCATAGGCACTAGTACTGCACTGTCAACGTGGTGATCTCTTTGTTCACTGCAATGTCTGTATCTTGTGTTTACACAGCTGGAGTCAGGATTTAAGTATGCCAGTGATACAAGATTGCAGACTCCCTAAACTCAAGAGAATTTGTCCTAGACACAGATGTATTCATCCCCCCCCAATTTAAGCTCTTACACAGATAGTCTTTGAATATTCTTGTAAAAAAGTCCCTAATATTCTGCTGAAGTTTAAAAGCTAACTCCCAAAGCTTATAGGAATGTATGATAATGAAACTTTTATGACTCACTAAAGCTTTTACTGAAACAATATCATTTATTTCCAGACTTGTAAATGTATGAAGGCTTACTAGTGAGTGGACATTTATGAAGAGATCCGCTTCTCAGCATTTTAAATGAAATGCGTGAAGGATTTCCACAGTGGAGAGTGTGTTACTGTGAAGCATGTGGCTGTGTTTTAACACCTGTTTGGTTTGAAAGCTGATGTGAACGTGCTTGATCCCAGACACGAAGTGTGAATGGAATGGAGGTAGTGTGACTATGCTGTCTGCTCGCCCTCCTTTATCCCCTGACCGTGGATTCAGAGTCCATCAGCACATGTTCTGCTCACTCGTCTGATACACGGCACATTCACCGCTCCGCTGGAGGGTCCAGCCCTGACCCTGACTTGTGTTTGAGTCGAATATGTAACTTGTCTTGGAGGATATTTAATTAGGTAGGATCATGCTTGCATTGTAACTTTTATCTTTGACTTCTCTGCATAATTATGTCTCTACAGAGGACTTTGTGTTGTCAACACCCCCTTCGTGTCTCTCCTTCCCCCCAGTTCAGCCTCGCTGGATCTCAACTTTCATAAGAACTCTTACTGTGTTTTTCAAGCTGTTTCTCCTAGATTTGAAGTACTTACTGACTTTGTGGTTGTTTTTTTTTTTAAAATAGTTGAAATGATGAAAATGTTTTGTTTCTATTTAGATATTTAAGTGCATTGTCAAATAACATCTTTTTACAGCTAAAGTTCATGTACCCATTTGAAATTTGATTTGAAAAGTGTTTAGAGAGCATTTGTTACTTTTGATCCTTTCTTCAAATGTTTTACGTTTATATATAAAAATCTCAGAACCTCAAACCTGAGTCTTTACTTCCTGGCTTATCATTTCTGGAAAGACTTTTGGGGATATGTTTTATTGCATTAATAAATTGTTCTGCTAAGATCTTGCTTGTGGCCATTCATTCTTATGTGTAGTAACAGGAGCTAGTGATGTTAGGTGTTGTGGTGATTTGTAAGTGATTTTATGTGCCACTGTTGTCATTGTTACGAGCATACCCATGTCTCAAATGTCAGTACCGTGTGTGAAGGACAGTCTCCGAAGCTTTGCTCATTACAAGGCTCACGCGCCAAGGTGAGCCCTTCTCTGAGGCCACTGGCTTTGTTGGAGTCTCAGGATTTATTTGAGGGAACCCCTCATGTTCTGCATGATCTTCTGCCTTTTTAGTTTTCTCTTACCTTAGGCTGGGTTCTCTAGAAAAGCAAAAACCATATACATGTGAAATATACATACGTATAAAGAGAGAGGGATTGCACGGCAATGCCTCACACACTTGTAGAAGCCTGGCTAGTCCAGGTTCATGAGTCAGATCTCAGGACAGAGCTTCTCACCCTGACTGTGGAGGCTGAGGAATCCACGGTCAGCAGGAAGAACGGTCACTGGTTCAAGTCCAAGAACTGGAGGTATGTGTCCAAGAGAACCACTAAACCTGAGAATTCTGGCTGTAGATTGACACACACCTTTACCCATCCCTATGAAGTGGAATCTCTTAATTCTTTCACCCTAAGAAAGTTCTCAGCCTGTTGAAAAGTCAGAATAAGAAAAGGTATTCCTGGAGAAAATGAGTTCCTGGATCCCACACATTGACTTCTGTTGTAAACCTTTCCACCGTGACTCCTCTCTTACTCCACAGACATCTCACCTGACTGCACTGTGGGCTCCACAGACCCTGTGTGCGTGACAACTTGAAGGTTCTGGTAGCCCTGCTTGTCTGTTGGCGCCGTTTGCCCACCAGCACGTGGTCACTTCATGTCGCCCATCTTAAGACAATCTCACAATACCAAGAATCTATCTTTCAACTTATTGCAGTTCCCAAGACAAATCTGGGAGGAGACTGTCACAACTATTTTCCCAAGGAGCAGCTGGTGGGTTTGAACTACTGACCTTTCCATCAGCAGCCTGACATTATGCCCCGGGGCTGCTTTAATAGACTGGAGTGTAAATATAACTTTATTTTTGGTGTGTACTATCGGGGCAAAACGGACTCTTAACTGACCCTCTGGTGGGTTTTCAGAGCCTGTAAATCACATGGATTTCCGTTTTCTCTCGAGTAACTGGTGGACTCGAACCTTCTGGCTTTGAGTTGGCAGCACAGCTCCTTAGCGCCAAGCTAGCAGAGCTCCTGGACTTCGTGTTGGAGACCAAGCTCGAGCCTGATGTCTGAGCTGAACCTGCTTTGATGTCTTTATCTTATGGTTGGTGCCAACCTCTCTTCGGGAACCTTTTGTTCGGGAGCTCTGGTGGCCCAGTGGGTAAAGCGTCGTACTGTCAACTCAAAGGTGAGCAGTTTGAGTCCACCGGCGTCGCTGAGGGAGGAAGGAGGACAATCTCCTCCCACGCCTCTAAAACCCCGGACGCATGGCGGCGAGGTGGCCCCGACTGGATGGCAGGGCGTTGTGTTTCTGTTGGACTTTTTAATTCTTGAGAGGCTGTGTTCTGAGTGAACTGCATTTCCGTCAACCATAACAAGTCTTGACGGGATAAATCCTGGTGGAAGTCTTTAGCAAGTCGAAGCTCTCACGCTCTCCAGAGTGTTTAGAAGTGGACACTGAGACGCCCCCCTGGAAGGTTCGCTGGTCAGGGAAGGGGCCAGAGGTGACCCCCTACTGGAAAAGAGAAGCCACTTCCTGCCGAGAGTGACCCCGTGCGTAACCCCTGCACGTGAACCCCGCCTGTACTTGACCTCCTATCCACATTGTGACCCCCCCATGCCCCCCACACCCCCTTTATACACAGCACCCTTGCCCAATGCCTGCACGTCACGTCTGCACGTCACGTCTGCACGTCACGTCTGCACGTCACGTCTGCACGTCACGTCTGCACGTCACGTCTGCACGTCACGTCTGCACGTCACGTCTGGCCACGCCCCACAGCATCATGAACGTCAGGCCACGTCAGGCTGGGCACGTGGGCCCGGCACGTGGGTCCGCCCACAGGTGCCTACAGGTGGGCTTGGAGCAGGGGTTGGCCGTGAGGACCTGCCTCCGGGCTGCCTCCTGCCAGGTCCTGAACGGGCGTCACCTCTACTCTCAGGAACTTTAGGGTGTCATCAGGCACTGAGCTCTGTCCCGGGCTTCCAGGTGGAGGTGATGAGAGCTGTGTCCAGGGCGGTGCGTGGATCCCTCGGACAGCTGCGGGGTAGCCTGACCCATGGGGTCACAGGATGGCCTCGCTGTAAGTGCCAGAACGTCGCAGAACAACACAGTGGAAGGTGGTGATGCCTCAGTGTGACAGGGGCGGAGGGCGGGTGCGGGGCCTGAGCGGGGGCG